AGATCACGGCCTAATACAAATTACTAATGTCATTCATGGAGTATATTATTATTAATGTGATTAAAATTATTATTATCATTATTATTCTTATCATCGTTGTTCTTGTTATTATTAATGTTTTGTTATTATTATTTTTCATGATTAACCATCGAGTGTTGTTTCCTTGTAAAAATTCTTCGTATCGCTTTGTGTGTTTGAAAAATTTGGGAAAAACCCAAGAAAAAAATACAAAAACGTGTTTTCAATTTCATCGTTTTGTTTTCAGATTTTGAAAATATAAATTAGAGCCAAATAAACTTATAAAATTGTAACGAATAAACAAATAATAACAATAATAATAATAACAATAAAAGGGGATAATGATTAAAATTAAAAAGCCAGAGCCAAATGAAAGTTAAACAAATCAATGGATCATGCTAATGTTGACATACTAATAAAATAATATCATTAATAACTCTGAAAATATATACTTAAACAACACGCACACATACTCACAAACACACACCTCACGTTCACACACACAATCACATACAATCACATACACACAACACACACACACACGCACACAGACATACATACGCGCATACACACACATATTCACACACACACATGTATATGTGAGAACGAATCCATTATATTCAATCAATCATCATTGATTGGTTGATTTATTTATTTTTTGCATTATAACAACAATAGCAAACTACCCGCGATATATATATATATATATATATATATATATATATATATATATATATGAAGAGAGAGAGAGAGAGAGAGAGAGAAAGAAAGAGAGAGAGAAAGAGAGAAAAAGAGAGAGAGAAAGAGAGAAAAAGAGAGTGAGAGAGATTAAAGCCAATAATATAAAAAACAATGAAAATGGTAATTATATTAACTATTATTAACGTTAATAAATAAACTATGATATTATGGTACTGATATTACGACTAATAAATAATAATAATAAATATTATTATTATTTTTATTATTGTTTTTATTATTATTAATAAAAGACTGGAAAATTGGTTCTGAATATATATACGTACATTGCAGATTGACAAGTTTGATCTTTTAACATATGTTACATTTACCATACGCGTTATGTTTGTGTGTGTGTGTTTGTGTGTGTGTATGTTTGTGTGTGTGTATGTTTGTATGTGCAAGTATGTATGTTTGTGTGAGTATGTATGCTTGTATGTGTGAGTATGTATGTTTGTATGTGGATCAATTAGATTTTCCACCACAAAGCACACAGAACACACTTCCACATACAAGTATGTGTGTTCATGTGTGTTTTTATGTATATATGTATATGTGTGTGTATGTATGTCTATGTGTGCGTTTGTGTATATGTGTTTAGGTTCGTGTTTGTTTGTGTGTGTGTGTGTGTTTGTGTATGTGACTATAACACTATAACATGGTTGGTGAACTATATTTAATCTAAAAGCTGAATTATAAAACTTCCGAATATAGTCCTATAAATGATGATAATTCTAACCACGAGTGATTTATTTCATCATGATTATCACTTTTTGAAGATGACGTTGGTGATGACGAATAAGTTACTAAAAAATAAATATTGCATACGCAAATGTAAGGTACCTCACATCCAAACGTAAAAATACACGAACAATACGAACAAAATGTGTACACAAAATGTATATATATATACAAACGAGAATACCATGAATACCAAATGTACGTAAGAAAGTTATTAATTATAAACAATTAATTATAATCAATCAATTAAATAGTTAACTATACAGGTGGGTTATTATTATTTGTGAGCGAATAATAAAATTTACATTTATTTAATTATCTATTCAATTTATTATTTATTAATTACTATAAATGAATTGTGTTGCTTTGTTATGATGATATAAATTCGTAATTATGACGTAATAATTAATAATAATAATAATAATAATAATAATATTGATAAATAACTATAGAAAAAAATCACACACAAACGGGCTAAATTAACCTGAAATTTAAAAAGTCCAAAATGGCGGGAAATGAAAAAGAAGATGGAAAGATAAAAAATGAATGAATGAAAGAAAACTGCATTAGATAAATGAAGTGAGCAAAACATAAACAAACATACAAATCTTTAACATATACAAAACATTTGTTTGTTAAAAAAACTGTAAACTATACAAATAAAACACATACACATACACGCACACATATACACCGAACCAACTCTCACACACATACAGTCTATCACACACATATACATACATACATACATACACAATCACATACATATACAACCATGGACGAAAACATACAAATACGTAACTGATTGTGTATATACAAACAATATACATACATACATATGTGAAAAAAACAAACAAAAAACAACAACATACGTAAAAAAGCAACAAAACTAAAATTGTATAAAAAATCAAAACAAAAACAACAACATACAAATATACATACACAAGCAAAAAACAATACAAACAGAACATAACAAAGAATACCAAATATATAAAGCCTGCAACTACCACAACTTGCTGCTGTAGACAACACTAACAACAACGATGATAGTCATACAAGTAAATGCAGAAATTGCGAGAACCAGCCAGCGATATTTATACTGCCTCGAGACGACACTGCGTAGAAAAAGCGGAGATGGACGATGTTTTTTTGCACCGGGAACCTTCAATAGACTGTCGCCGAAACCGTTGTTATTGTTGTTGAGGTTCGTCGAACTGGTCACGCGTTTGATCGCCAGCGTGTTGCCGTTCATCAGCTGACTTATTTGGCCGGTTAAGTAGAGCCTGAAAAGATAATCAAAGCGGTAAAGACACACACACACACGCACACGCACGCACACGCACACACACACACACACACACGTACACACCACACACGCACACACACATGCACACACACAAACAATGATGATAGATGAACACATGTGAAGATTAAGCCGACGGTTGTGATGACAAAAGGTAATTGTCACAACGAGAGCGGGTATATTAATATTTATAAAAACATTTTTGTCGCTCAAAATTATTTTCGTGATACAAAAATAGTTTCTGCAATTAAAATTTTTTGCAGTTTCAATTAAAAATAAACCTTAAAAAAATTAGTTGTGGGTACCTGATAGTGAATAGGAACTTCATCTCGTCATCTTGTCCGGCTTCGTCGCAGTACAACTGCATCGGGTTCATCACCGTTTCTGCCCCCAACACGTCTGCTCCTGAGTTTTGGAAGAATTTCAATCAAATTTCTTATTTTAAAGCGTTTTTACAGCTCTCTCGATTAAATTTAACATTTTGTAAGTTGTCCATTTGTAATGAATCTGTTCAACCGTTATTTTTTAAAAGTTATGTTAATATTATTTCTGATTTGTGAACAGTTTAAAGGTAGTAACATTAGGTGGCATTTATTATCGGTTTAATAATTAAAACGTGCCTGAGCCAACTTGGCTTGTTTCAAGCTAATAAGGCAAATACTTTTAACCTATATTACTACCACAATACTTATATCAATTATACCATTATATCTGATAATGCCAAATTACTGAAATTATTTGTAATAACGCAAAAGAAACTTGATTAGTAATAAAAATTATTCAAACGGACACAAAAAAAATCAAACCCGAATTTCTGAGAAACGCGATAACTTTCGAGAATGTTTCTCTCATCTCCTCCAGTCGCTCCATAGTAATGAGATGTTGTGGCTGTGGCGACTGAAGTAGTAGGGGTATCTGCTGGTTGGTGCCCTTGACGATCATTGAGGTTGGCGTGGTTGTCGTCGTGTCGAGTAGATCGGCAGCGTTCGAATCTCTCTCTCGCATGAGCTCTGGAGTGAATGTCTCGTAGATGAAGGGGCAACAAACCGGAAGTACGTGCGGAAGGTTGTTCTTGTTGTCGTCATCTTCGTCGTCGTCGTCATCGTCGTCGTTCATTTTTAATTTATCAGTTTCCGTGCCGCCGTTGTGGTTGTCGTTGTTTGTGGCTGTGGTCACGGAGTTGCCGGTCGTTGTCGTAGTTGTCGTGTCGTTGGATGACTTTTTTGTTAACTTTTTGTTGGATGGTGGCTTGATTTTGAGGGTGTATATTCGCAAAATTCGGAAAAATTCAACCGGGTCGAAGTTGTTGATGCCTGGCATGCTGTAGAAGAGAGACTTGCCGAGGTCTTCGTGAGGTCCTGGGGTGCAGATGGTTGGGTGGGGTGCAGAAGGTTGGGTGGAGTGCCGATGGCAGATGAGGTGCAGATAGGTGCGTGGGAACGATTGGGTTTTAGTTGTTTAAATAATCATAAATTAAGAATTTCAAATTGGTCAAAAACACATTGATCGATCAGCCAACTAACTAACAACCGGCTAGCCAATCAACCAACCGACCAACCAATCACATAACTAACCAATCAGCCAATCAACCAGCCAACAAACCAACCAATCACATAAATAACCAATCAGCCAATCAACCAGCCAACAAACCAACCAATCACATAAATAACCAGTCATCCAACTAACCAGCCAGCCAGCCAGCCAACCAACCAACCAATCACTTAACTAACCATCATCTTTTTGGACCATGAGAGACTGCATGTTGGTCACCAAAAGATCCTCTTTCTGCTTCTTCAGCCACGTGTTCGCCCTCTCCGCCAGGACTTCGAAACCATCGTAACCGTCGTTCGTTGGCATGGGGACGATATCTTTGATTGCTAGGTCGGTGGCGATGATGAGAAAAAGAAGATGATGAAAATGGTGATGACGATGATTGCGCAAATTGGGATTTGTGTGTTGATGATGACGAAGACTTATATGATGATGATGATGATGATGACTTAGATGATGATGATGATGATGAGGGCGATAATAATAATAATAATAATAATAATGGGAACAGATCTATTATTTTTCATCAAATGCGTAAAATCAATAATCAATTAATCAATTAATCAATTAATCAATTAATTAATTAATTAATTAATAGAGAAATAGTCGTGATTAAAATAAAATCATAGTTAGTCATCAATGCTTTTCATTTAAAATAATATCGATATAATAATAATAATAATAATAATAATAATAATAATAATAATAATAATAATAACAACAACAACAACAACAATAATAATAATAATAATAATAATAATTCAACTTTCTAGCAGCCAACTGACCTAGCGTTAAGTTAATCTTTCCTAACTGCCTGACTGACTCTCTGTTGAAAAAGACCCTCAATATGAAAGCGTAGGGTGTATCTAATTCCACATCCTCCGTCCATACTGTCACGTGGTTCCGGACTTTCGATTTGGAAACCGGCACGTTTAGAGTTTCGATTGAAAGAATTTTTCCTAAAAACAAATTTTATTTTTTTTTCAATTTTTTTTTGGAATTCGGATTAAATTTTTTAAATAATTTTAATACGTGTACTTGATTGATTGGTGTATGTGATGTAGAATTTGTTGGCTCTTGTTTTAGTGGTTTTGTCTAAATTTGCTTATGTTTTTTCAAAAAAATTCTTTTTATTATAAATAGTTTCATTTTTATTTTTTTTATCTATGTTTAATTGTTTTTAAAAATTTTGTCACATTTTTTTTCTATATATTTCGTTCGTTAGTTTATCGGCGTATGAAATTGTTTGTTTCACGTTCATTATGTGATGATGAATTTGAAAATTGAACACTTGCTTGTACGACTTTGTGTGTTGGTTGATGTATTTGTATCAGTTGTATAGGTTGTATTGTATGTTTGTGTATCATTTGAATTGTACGTTCGTTGGCATCAGTTGTATTGTATGTTTGTGTACCATTTGTATTGTAAGTAGGTAGGTATCAGTGGTATTGTATTTTGGCTGTGTTATTTTTATTGTATGTTGGTCGATATCAGTGGTTTTGTATGTTTGTGTATCATTTGTATTGTATGTTGGTTAATATTCGTGGTTCTGTATTTTGAATGTATCATTTGTATTGTATGTTTGTATATCATTTGTATTTAATGTTGGCATCAGTTGACACATTAGCAAAACATCACAAAACAAGCCAACAACCCCAATCATGAACACCAAAAACAACAACAACCGCAATAACTACACCACAACCACCACCAGCGGCGGCAGTAGCAGCAGCAGCAACTACCACTACCACAACAACTACAACAACCACACCAATCCCAACAACAGAACCAACCAGCTATATGCTTGTGTTCAATCTTCCTATTAATCCTACCAACCAACTGATCTAACTTCTCGTGTTCAGCTGGTGTGAAATCTTCAAAATGGAGGACCTGCTGCTTGCTACACGTTCTTGGCACCAACCACAATCTATTGTTAAATTAATTGATTAATAAATTAATTAATTAACAAATAAATAAATTAATTAATAAATTGTTATTCATTCATCATGCGTTCAATCACAATTTATTCATTTACCGATTGTTCGTTTACTCATTCATTCATTCATATGTGTTTATTAATTTGTTCGTTCATTCGTTCGTTCAGTCATTTATCACTCGTTCATTCACAACGTACTCATTCAACTTTCATTCGTCCGTTCGTTTCTTTTTTTGTTCATTTGTTTGTTCGTTTGTTCATTCATTCATTCACTCATAATTCACGCATCATTAATTTACGCAGGTCGTACATTTTCATAATTCATAATTCGCTAAAAAACAATTCCCGAAAAAAATTCTACCAACCGACTCAACTCACCTAAGCCCCCTGGCAACCCCGCCCTACTCACCTAAGCCCCCTGAGAAAAACGGTGGTAGCCCCATCGACCAGTTTCTTGGAGACCATCATTCTCTCGCCGTCCTTCATGCCACACGGATCCGATCCCATCCAGGTCAGTGTTTCACAACTCTTAATCATGGAGTCCGGATTTTTTTTCATCCACTCATTCGCTCGATCTATCAGCTTTCTGTGGTTGTGGTGATGATGTTGCTGGTTATTATGATGATGATTATTATTAAAATGGTGGTGATTATTATTATTATTGTTATTATTATTGTTATTATTATTATTGTTATGGTTGTTTTTATTTACTGTGTTTACCACCAATACCATCCCGACAGATTTAAGAGTACACAGGTTGTACAAACATTTGTACGCATACATTGCAAACAGACGCACGTGCGTACAACAGTTTATGTACGCATTATGCAAACAATGATTTATGTAGCGCCGTATTTGAGACCATGTCAGACGAGCAGTTCAAGAACAACATGTTATTATGTATTTGTGCCTTGGACCTGTGTTCCTTTTTATTTTGTTATAACTTTATTTTTTTTCTTTTTATTATTAACTTATTAACTCATTCATTCATTTATTCACTCATTCGTTTATTCATCCATTCGTTCATTACTTTTTCATTGAAATTATTTTTATGGAAATTTTCTTAGCTGTGGAACTGCTGTTTGAGTCTCATATTGATTTTTTCCCAAAGGTTGTAGTTTATTTTTCGTTCATTCATTCGTTCGTTCGTTCGTTCGGTTTGTCGGTTTGTTTGTTATTTAATTCATTCTTAATTCAATTCATTCTTTATATCCAGATTAATTTATTTAGTTTTTACTGTTATTCATATAAAAAAAATCATGGTATCAATTATTTAGTATTGGTTTGCTGCTTAATTATTTCCATTTTTTGATTAATTCTTTTTTTTAACTTTGCAAAAGCACAGTTAAATTTTAAAAATTTGCGCTATATAAATACCAATTGATCGATTGGATTTGTGACGTCATCGTAAGGTCACGATCGTCGGACAGGAAATGACGAGGAAATATCATAACCGTGTCCTTCCGAGGTGTCGGGGCCTAGCTGTGTTAATGTGAGATCTCTTTCCTGCTGTTACTACTTCTCTCTCTCCCTCTCTCTCTCTTTTTCTCTTTTTCTCTCTCTCCCTCTCTCTCTACCTTTCTTTTTGTTTTTCACTCTTGTAAAAAAATATTTGTATTTTAATAAGAGATTTGTGGGTATGTTATGTGTATATGAATGCACGTGTGTGTATGTGTGTGAATAAGTATATCTGTTAGTGTGTTGATTTGTATATGCATATTTGAGTGTATGTGTGATTGATTGCGTGTGTGTTTGCGTGTGCGAATAGACGTGTGGGTGTGTGATGCGTGTTTGGTTAAGCTCGTTAACCTCATCATCATTGGCTGTTGTGCTTGTTCATCGGTCTGCCTGCCAATCAATATTGACGATAACTATAATAGCGTACACACATTGTTGTGTACAAACACACACACACACACACGCACGCACACACACGCACGCACACACACGCACGCACACACACACGCACACGCACGCACATACACACACACACAAACGCACACACACACAATTATTTAAGGTATATATGGGTATAAATAAATAAATACCCAAAGAAAGACACAAATGTACAATTACACATACATACACACAAACACGCACATTTATACCCTCTTTCTCTTTTTCTCTCTCACACACACACATACACACACGTGGACACATACACTTGAACACACACCCAAAAAAACATATAAACATTCATACAAATACAAGCAAGCACATGTTGTTGTTGCTGATAAATTATTTTTTGTTTTTTTTTTGTTATTTAGGAAATAAACTGTGTCGTGGTAGAATTCATTTCATATTGTTGTTTGTTATCAACAACCGTGCAGGACACATCACGCGAGTGAATCTTTTTTTTTATTCATTCGTTCATTCATTTTGTTCATTATTTCGCTCGTTCGTTTGTTCGTTCATTCGTTTGTTTATTTGTTTATTCATTCATTTAAGTATTCGTTTAGTCACAAAAAATTTTAATAGTTACACAATTTATATATGAAAATCTAAAGTAATTAAAATAACGCAAATCATAGGAAAATTAAATAAATAAAAACGAAATAGCAATATAAATAGATTCTAAAAAGTAAAAATAAAATAAAAATAAATTCAGAGAATTAAAAAAGGTCGAAACGTGGTTGGGCGAATTTGAAATTCGATTATGGAGAAACCACATGTGTCATCTTCCCACTGAATGACTCATAAATATTCAGAATAAATCAAATGCGGCAAGTATCATAACGAAACTGCACGAAACGAAACGAGACTGTCTGAAACGAAACGAAACGGATCACCGCTTAACGAAACAACATAACGAGACCAAATAAAACATACACACATACACCAAACACACACGCACAGATGTTAACATTTGATCCGTCATTCTAGTATCGCAGAGAAATTCGATGTAAAATAAAATAAAATTTTTTTTTTGTTTTTTTTTTGTTTTTTTGTTTTTCAAATGGAAAAACATTTTCTATTACAAAAATTTGTTTATATAGAAAGAAAAAGTCAATCCGAAACTGGACGTGTTTGTGTGTGTGTGTTCTAGATAAATTTGTTATAAAAAAGTTTCATGATTAACAAATGTAAATTTTTGTCGTTTGTTTTATCTGTGTGCCTGTGCATGTGTCTATGTATGTGTGTGTACGTATGTGTATGTTTGTATGTGTGTATAAGTCTGTGTGCATATGCATATATGTATGTTTGTGCATGTTTATTTGATTGTTTTACGTATGTATGTATGTATGTATGTATGTATGTATGTATGTATGTATGTATGTATGTATGTATGTATGTATGTATGTATGTATGTATGTATGTATGTATGTATGTATGTATGTATGTTAAAACCAAAACATGATGAGTGACACTGAACCGTATGTATGTATGTATGTATGTATGTATGTATGTATGTATGTATGTATGTATGTATGTATGTATGTATGTATGTATGTATGTATGCATGCATGCATGTATGTAAACATGTATAGAGTGCACATTCAGAGCAGTGCACATCACATAGAGACAAAAATCAATCAATGTGCATTTGAGTGTGGGATGACTCATCGTCTTAGAATTGTATATGTGATTGTATGTAGGGTCAGTATCTGAGATTGTATATGTGTTCGTATCTGCTATTGTATGTGTGTTTGTATGTGTGTTTGTATATGTTCTTGTATGTTTTCGCCTCCAAATCGAATGAATGTTTGTATTTTTTTGTTGTATGTTTGTTTGTTTGTTTGCATCAGTGGCAAATTGTGTATGTGTTAGTTTGTGTATCGCTATATTTTTTTTATAACTCCCACAGCAATTCATTCACGCACTATGATTTAGTCGTTTGAATTGAGATTTTTTTGTAAAGTTTTTATGTTTTTATACCAGCTGGAAGAAAAATATTTTTACCATGATGGCACGGTTGGTTTGCACTTGAGAGCATAGGTCGGTGCTGTGCTGTGTGTCGTTGGGTGGTTTGAAGTAAGATGATATTTGAATAAGTTGATAAATGTGTGTGTGTATGTGTGTTTGTTTGTGTGTGTATATTTATGTTTGTTTGTGTGTGTATGTGTGTTTGTGAATGTGAGCTATATAATTTAGTTTAGCCTATTTCCAACAACAATACACTGGTTAATGCACTTAAATTAACGATTTTACATTTGCAAGATGTATGAAAACAAAATTTTAAAAATAAATTTTCAAAAATGAGAACAAAATAACCGAAAAACCTTCGACTAACTGAAAGTGTTCGGACTTGCTTCCTGTGGCATCTTTTTTCAGGCAAACTCCACCAACGCCCCCGCAATTATTATTATTTTTATTACTTTTGCTTCCAGTGCTACTCTGACGATGGGCACTTCCAGCCCCACCAACCCCAGCCGATGAGGTGACGTGAGTGACGTTGGCAAGGAAATCTTGGTACTTTAACTTCCATTGGCTGCGCAATGACGTCACAGATGACCTTTTTCTTTGGGAGGGTCTCCTTGACCCGCTTGTTCCTGATTGGTCGGTTGGATTGGAGGTTCGCCGTATGTGGTTCATCACGCGGTTCTCTTCTACTGTCTCCATGTTGTTGGTTGTTGATTGGTTGGTTGGACGTTGAGGTCAGGATCGAAGTTTGTTTTTGAGTTTTTTGGGGAGAACTTTAAATAAAAACAAATCTTTTGTTTTTTTTCGATTTAAACGTTGCTGGCATTTTGACGAATTTCGCAACTGTATTTTGGGACATCGTTATTTACTGTTATGTTTAAACTGCTGTTGCTCTTCGATGTTAAGTTTCTTAATTCCAAATTTGTTTATCCCAGGTTCCGTGTTAAAATGATGGATTGTTATCTGATCCGGAATTAAATCCGAGGATTGACGGATGGATGAGTTCCTGTGAATGAACGAATGAACGAAGGAATGAATTGAGTAATTGTTGGTTAGATGAAAAAAGGGTTTAACTAATGAGTGAATGTGGTGGGGGAAGCCGGGATGATAGATTGATCCTTCGTCGCTGTGGCTGTAGTAGTAGTAGTAGTAGTAGTAGTTGTTGTTGTAGTTGTAGTTTTTGCTGTAGTTGTATTATTTGTATTTGTTGTTGTTGCTATAAAAATAATCTTGTTGCAGTTATTAAGGATGTTGTTAGTGTTGTTGTTGTTATCGTGGCTGTTGTTGTTGTTGCTGCAATTTTAATGAAAGCTATTTCACAAATCAAAAAGCAAAAATCAGACTTTGAATTAATGAGTCGATGATTAATCCATCTATCTATCCAATTATCCATTGATCATTCAATCCACCCATCAATTAATCAATCAATTAATCAATCAATCAGTTAATACACTAATCAATCAGCAAACCAATCAATCAAGAATTTTATACTCTTGGTTTTATTTTCATTTCACTTTAAGGAATAAGGCAAACAGGTGCGTCATTATTTTAGTTATCATCACCATCATCCTCATCGTCATCATCATCGTCTTCATCATCGTCGTCATCATCATCATTTCGTTTATGTATGTATGAAAGATCTCCCTCCAGACGCTAACGCAAAACTCGTGAATTATTAATTGGAGCAATTGAAAAAATGAAATTAAAACAGAACAAATAAAAATTATCAAAAGAGAATTAATAGCAATGATAATAATAATAATAAATAATGAATAATAATAAGGTAATGACGTCAATAGCATTTGTTTTTATTATTAAAAACAGAAATCTTCGAACACTAAAAATCGATTCTATACATCAGAAAATGGTCCAAACGTGTCATTATTTATTAATCAGCAGTAGTATTAAAAACACTCACACAGACACACATAGAAACACACACACACTCACACAGACAGACACACACATACGCACGTACACGCACAGAGACACATCTATGTGCTGTTGTTTATTTTGTTGTTGTTTTTGTATTGTTTATAGTGTTGTTGTATTGAACTGTCAAGTTGTAGTAGTATTTTAGCTTTAGCTGATTATTATGTTTATATCAACGTTGTTAGTGATGTCTTTGTTGGTGGGTTTTTTATTCATTTATTCATTCAATCTCTCATTCATTCATCCATTCATTCATTCATCCATTCATTCATTCATACATTCATCCATCCATCCATACATTCCTTCATTCATTCATTTATTTATTCATTCATTCATTTCATCCTTTCATTCATTCATTCACTTATTTATTCATTGTATTATTAAAAATAATTTGTTTAATTAAAATGAATTAAAAATGTTATATAAGAAAAATATAAAGTGAATCTAACCTTTTTAGATGTTTATAATAAGTTAATTTTAATAAAATTTCCAAAATAATTTTTTGAAATTAGAATAAATTAATCCTGTAATAATTTCAGCCTAATTTTGAAGAAAAATTTTAATTTTTTCCATAAAATAAGTTTAATGACTTTTTTCAATTAATATACCTCTACAAATAATACCAAAAAAAATATTATTACTGTTTTTGTTATGATAAATTTGTTTATTTTTATTATTTGTTTATCAAAAAATTAAATTTTTCATATGCTGTGTCTAAACCATTCATAAAACTCTTGTGTTTGTGTGTTTATTATGCATGTATGTACCTACGTAAGTATGTATGTATGTATGTATGTATGTATGTATGTATGTATGTATGTATGTATGTATGTATGTATGTATGTATGTGTGTGTGTGTGTGTGTGTGTGTGTGTGTGTGTGTGTGTGTGTGTGTGTGTGTGTGTGTGTGTGTGTGTGTGTGTATGTATGTATGTATGTATGTATGTATGTATGTATGTATGTATGTATGTATATATGTATGTATGTATGTATGTATGTATGTATGTATGTATGTATGTATGTATGTATGTATGTATGTATGTATGTATGTATGTATGTATGTATGTATGTATGTATGTATGTATGTATGTATGTATGTATGTATGTATGTATGTATGTATGTATCAAATCAAATATTGTATTTATATAGCGCCAATTATAATTGCTTTTCATCAGCGCTCTCCTTGTATGAAGCATGTGGAAAGCGAGGCCATCATCGTTGTAGATCACTAGGAGTCACCAAATAGGTATGTCTTTAGTCGTTTTCTAAACTCGGCTAATGATAACCCAGATGATGAACGTAGTTCGATAGGTAGTCTGTTCCAAAAAATAGGTCCAGCAACTGCAAAATCTCTATCAGCTGTTTTCAGATTCCGTTCTCTAACATACAGCGTGTTTGAATCAGCAGACCTTAGACGCCCATGCTTCTGCTTCTTCACTTGTTTGTTTTCTTTAAAATGCGATTCTCTATCTTTTTCTTGGTTGCATTTTTTAGCGCAAATACACTAAAACATAGGTTACATTAGCATCTGTACATACGCACATGCAAATGTAACATACACAAACATGCAAACAACGGTTTCAACACAACACACACACATAAACATACAGATACATACAGAAATGCATACTACACACATACATACATACAAAAACATGCAAACATACATTCGTTTAATACAAACGAGCATTTATTAGCAGTTATGTTTCTCGTTCTCATCTCTTCTTCCTAATTTTTTATTAGACTTGGTAAGGGTAAAATAGGTATCTTAACTTTTAATTTTATTTCTATCTTTCTTTCATTTCACGAGTTTGTTTCGTTTGTTTATATTTTAGGTGGGTTCTTTAGCGGTTGTTCAAACATACTTACATACGTCATTTTTGTTTGTATTTTATGTTCTGTTTTACTCCTTTTTTTCTTTCTTCTTGAGTTTTAGTTAAGTTAATGAAATATAGGTAGGGGAAATTATTTTATAATATAGGTAGGCTAGGGCATGAGGTAATTAAGTTAGGGACTTCTATTCTTTTACTCTACTTGGTGGTGTGTTTTTCGTTCTGTGTTTTTGTTTTGTTTTGTTTCACACAGAACGCATACGGTGAACAAAAACAAACATGGCGCTATGATACAAACATACTTGCAAATATACATGAGGTATTTTAAAAAACGAAATAATTATATATATACCCGGTATAAGCGTATGTGCTATTTATATGCCAGAAAGCATACAAGATGGCTAATGGAATGAAGACGACAATGAGGAGGGTGATGATGAAGAAGAAGATGAGGATTGAAAAGATGATGATGATGAAGATGATGATGATGATGATGATAAGGATGATGAAAAAGAAAAAGATGATTCTAATAATGTTGATTATGATTAAAATCCATAAAATTGTACACATCTTGTTGTTAATGATGATGACGACGATGACAATAAAGATGATGATGATGATGATGATGATGATGATGTTAATGGTGATGTAAATAAGACGATGATACTGATGATGATATCCTCTAGATGTCTTGAGCGTACGAAAAGTTGTATTCCATTCTCACATCACACCGCGTCACATGTGTTTGTTTACTCGCGTCATTCTCAAGACTAGATGTTTGTTCTTGTGCATACAACAGTTCTTACATTCATTCATTCATTTATTCATTCATTCATTTATTTGTTTGTTGCTTTGTTTGTTCATTCATTCGTTCATTCATTTATTCGTTAATTTGTTTTTGTTTGTTTATAAGATATTTATTTCATCCTCGCATTTAACGATTTGTTTGCTACTATCCTTCAAATGTTTATCCATCATCATCATCATCGTCGTCATCATCATAATCGTCGTCATCATCATCGTCATCATCATCATCATTAACGTCATCATCTCTTTCATCATCGTCATCATCGTCATCATCATCATCACCATCATCTCCTTCATCGTCATCGTCGTCGTCATCATCATCCTCAAAATGGCAGACAGACAGGTTGAAGGCAGTCAGCGAATGAAATCAACAATGGAAGACTAATTGACGTATATAGATACATCATTACCATAACCGTCATCCTCATCTTCCTCCTCCTCCTCGTCATCATCATCAATACTAAATACTACTTTCATCATCACCATCATTTTAATCGTCGTCATCATCATCAGCGCCGTCTTCGTTATCATCATCATCATCGTTGACATTGTTAATGTTATTGTTATCGTCATAATTACCATCCTATGTGAAAGAGAAAAAAGAGAGAAAGAGAGAGAAAGATAGAAAGAGAGAGAGAGAGAGAGAGAGAATATAGATAGCATGTTAATGCGTTACCGTCTCTTTTGTATTCTGCCGGTCGGTTCGTTTCCTTTTGTATGTAAACTAAAATATAATTTTAAGTTTAATTGTATGTTTATATGTCTTCGTTTGTATGTTTTTTTTGTTTAGGTTTTGTATATATGTACATTTTTTAATGTGTGTGTGTGTGTTTGTCTAGATATCGAGGTATGTGTGTATTTGCATAATGTTATATATATATACACACACACACACACACACACACACATATATATATATATATATATATATATATATATATATATATATATATATATATGCCTGTCTATTTTAAGACATTTTATGGGATTTTACGTTAGAGCAGTGTTTATATGTGTTGCAGCACCAAGAATAGCTACTGCCACCGCTCCGAACTGCCTCTTCAAGATATAAATACACACAAATGTATGCAAATCTTAGTGCATAAATACGCACACACACACACGCACACACACATAAATACAAACACTAGTTATTTAATACACACACATATATACATATCGTGTGCATAAATACACACAGATGTATTTATATATACAAATTCTATAATGCACACACACACACACACACACTTCTTGCCGTATAAATACACATACACACCCTAGGGTATAAAAACGCAGGCACGTTTTATTTTTATCACAAATGCACGAGTTTTTGCCTGTATTATCATCTTCTCCATGTCTTAGCTTATGCTTGTTTTAATGATGTACACTACACGTGTGTGTGTATATGTATGTGTGTGTATTTTAACACAAGAAAGGTGTATTTATGTGCGTATTGTATCAATATCTAAGAAAAAGTGTGCATATTTGTATTTACACCGAGAAAGTGTGTATGTATGTGTGTATTTTTAACCAGGAAAACTTGTGTCTATGTGTGTGTTATGTGTGTATATGTGCGTATTTATGCCATGAAAATTGTGTACAGAAGATGTACAAGCTACTGTGTGTTTGTTCATCCATTGAATTAAAAGCATCCAGTGAGAAGGGAATTTATATGCGCCCGTGAATTAATGAGATGCAATATTTTAGATTTAAAAAAATTGAAAAAATTTGAAAGGATATATAAAAATATACAAACTCATACGAACTTGACAGAAAAACTCACAGACACATACAATAATATACACACAAACACATACAAACACAAAACCTACAAAGGATCACATACAAAAACATGCAACATACAATAACATACAAACGCATACAAAACATTTGTCTATTTGGTTCACTGAACGTAGTCAAGTTATTTGGCAAGATAGAAACGTTGGTTGGGAAAGATGGAGCGGAAAAAAGAAAAACAAAAAAACAGAAATAAAGGAAGAAAATATGTAGAGAGAGAGAGAGAGAGAGAGAGAGAGAGAGAAAGAGGGAGAGAGAGACAGAGAAAGAGAGAGACAGAGAAACCATTGAAAGAGAGTTGAAGAGGAAAAAAAAGAAAAAAATCGAGATACTGTTGAAATAGAGTCAGAGATAGAAAATACAAAAGATTCGGACAGGCAAAACGAACTAGAGACAACGGAGAAAAGGTAGCAAAAGTGATAGAAAGTGCAAAAAAGAAGAGAGAGAGAAAGAGAGAGAGAAAGAGAGAGAGAAAAGGAGAGAGAACGAACCAAAAGATTATTCCGCTATTGATCGCTGAGTCTGCGCGCAACCCAATACAACAATACGCCAGGATAGGTTTGGTTGGCGCATGTAATTATGTGTGTGTGTTTATGTGTGTTTGTTTATGTGTGTCTTTATGTGTGTGTTTATGTGTTTGTCATCATAATAAAATAGTTGAGAAACCTTCTTCCGTGTCTTTCAGTTGGCTAGGTCACAATCAACAATGAAATTAAGAAACTTTTTAAATGTCAAGGTGAATTTTCTTGACAGATACATCAATTCACACAAACACACACGCACAAACACAACGACGCACAAAATCCACACAAACATACACATACCCATAAACGCCCGTAGGTATTAGACGAGCGTGTGAATTTCGGTTGGCTCTGAAAGGTATTGACGTGTTTCGTGTGAGGTCTCCACTGTACAACGTACATACACACATACATACACAAATACATACATACACACATTACCATTCTAGTCACACACCACACACACACACATAACATTCCAATGTTAGTTGTTGTAGGTGTTTAGTTTTTATGTCTAATACACTAAACAGCGTTGTTTGTGTTTATTACCGGATTACAGTTCGCAATTAAACGGATGAATACAAGAACGGACGAACAAACGAACGAAAGAACGAACGAATGAATGATTAGTTTAAATAAAACAATTTAGTTTAATAAAAAATTAAATAGTTAATAAAGTAATTTAAAAAAATTAATAGGTAACCAAAATGTCAAAGTTCCTCACAAAATGATGGAAAATATCAGGCATTCTTCACATGCAAACAAACAAACTAGTCTGTTCTTATCGTTTTATTATTATTATCTCATTATTATTATTATTATTATTATTATTAATATAGTTATTAATAAGTTTGATGAACATTCAAAAGCAAAAAAAACACAAAATCAAAATTTTGAATTCAAATTCAAACAACAATAACACAACTAGAGCAACAATATTATAATAACAACAAACCAAAAAACAAAATAATTATGTACAATACATTTATTTAATAATAAATAAATACAGTTTGAAAAAAATCATCATTTATAAATAAATAACGAAATATCGGAAAAGTCTAATTTGCCTGATAGCTGAGAAACAACAACACCACCACTACTACTACCACTACCACTACTACTATGACCACTATCATCAAGTAATGAAGTAGAAGTAGTAATATTAGTGGTAACAGCAGTAGTAGCAGAAGTAGTAGCAGCAGCTATTGACTTGGCAATACTGGACACAGGAATAGTAGAAATATCGTTAGTGACAGTGCTAAAGTCAGTAACAGCGTTTGTAGTAGTAGTAGCAGCAGCAGCAGTAGCAGTAGTAGTAGTAGTATTCTTCGTGGAGTGTTTGTAAGCCCAAACGATGCAGTAATGTGTGAAAAGTTGTGTTAACATTTCAATGTCATCTAGGAATTCTATCTTCTCAATCCTCGAATAGTTAAATTATTAATTAATTAAAATTAATTAAAATTAATTAACAGATAATAATTAATTGAATAGAATGATTATAAATGATAGCAGTAATAAAACAACAGTATGTAATAACATATTACAAACAACTGACCCTAAACTGAAGATCATATTTAAATCATATATTGATAAGGAGCTAACAAAATTGAATGACTATAACTATAATAATAATAAAAATAAAATGTAAATAAAAATAATAATAATAACCTCTGAACATCATCTTGGGGTAGGCCATGGTATATCTGAAGCATGTCACCACCATCAATCCCATTCCAGCCACATTTTAGGAACCTTTTGATGAGAATAATAAAAATAAAAACAATAATAATAATAATAATAATGGTAAAGATGAGAGAAGCAGCTTGCCTATCAAACTGTGTCTGAAAGTTGAGGCAGTGTTGAACTCCGAGCAGAGCACATCCTCGATTCTGCAGGTTCGACAGCATCACCTCGCCAAACCTGTCATTCATATTTACCTGGCGAGAAAATTTTCAATTTCATCATTTTATCATCATTATTTAAACTTTAAATTGTTGTTTTTGTTAAATTAGACAAAATCATACGATAATGAATTCATCAAAATGATAAATAACATTAATACTACTACAACTGCTACTGCCACTACTACTACTACTACTGCTGGAATTACAATTACAAAGGAAATTACAGTTACAAAGAAAAAAGTGGATTACAAATTACAATTACAATGGAAAAAATTTTATCGAACCTGTTCATAATTGATGAAGAAAATGTCAGAAAACATCTCCGAAATTGTCCTAACCAGACAGGAAGACGAGTGTGGGTCCATGTAGATAAAAACGCACTCACAGATGAATGCTGTTGGTATTGTGCAGTCTATGCTACATCTATCTATGCAGGATTTGAACTGACACACATCTCTCAGATCACACGAAACGATGTGGTAGATGTTTGAATGTATTTCTGTTGGCTTTATTTGAACATCTGGAAAAGTAACATTTAAATTAGAGTAGCTACATTTTAAAACTGTAATTTTTATGTTAAAACAATATTACGATGACGAAAAATAATAAATTAATAAAAAAGAAAAAAAAAATTCCAGAGAAAAAATTCTTTAACCCGGTATGGAGTCAGATGAGCCATCATGATTGTTGGCCTGCAACTTACACATCAGTGACTTCTTAGACTTGATGATCCTAATTTTCTTATTGACCACGGGCTCAAAATCTAACTCAACCCATTTTAGTGGGACCAGATTTTGATCTGACAGAAGCCAAAACCTTGTGTCAGAGCCTGCACCTAAATTTACAACCTGGCATTTCAAGTCTGTTTTCTGTGGGTTTTTGTTAATTAATGAATATTATATGATGAGCAAATACTCTATTTTTAACCGAATAATATAACATTATATAATTATAATGTATGATTGTATGTAATATATAATTTTATAATACTAACTTACTTTAATAAAAATATAATTAGAAGATTTTTACATTATATGACGAATGTATGGAGTTTTTTGGACACATGTATGGAGTTCTTTGGTGTGACATGTCACATGTTATTGAAGAAAATTTCATTTTACTTAATAAAAAAATTGAAACAAATTCAAACATATATGATTTTTTTTATATAGCAATTACAATATGCATGCAAAATTTGAAAATTAATTAATTTTATTTAATTATATTTGAATTGAATTAACCTTCAAAAACTGTTTCAATAAATATTCGACGCCCTTGACCCTGGCATAGTAACCCCTGTTCAACTCTGGGGGCTTCCTATCAATAGCAGATGAGAATTTTGAAAAAAATTGGATGTAGGGATCTTGCCAGTATCCTAATTTTACGGCAGAGAATTTAGAATTAACTGCGTCGTCATTGGTTGATTGGACTTCTTCATCCTGCCGAGAACTTGCCATAAATTAGTAACAGAAATTTTGTTTTTGTTTAAATTTGCAAAAAATTGCTTTGTTTTGTTAATCACATTAGATTAATGTTCAATTATGCATTCTATTATGGAAAACTGAAACTATTTAAGATACTTTTTATTAATGAAACCCATATATATAAAATAAAATAATAAAAACTTTTTAAAACAATTAATAAATTAAAAAAAAAATTAATATAAATTAATAATTAAGTTGAAACTTCAACGTACGAAAATTTTACACTTTTACAAAACGAAAGCTATTAATAGTTTCTATAAATCTGGAAATTCCAGCAAAACAGTTTTCCATATAATATTCTTTCACTTCTGAATTTTCGTTTCCGATTACGACTATTATAAACGAATTAGCAATGGCCGAAAAAAACGATAATTTTAAAATGAATTTTAAAGATGAAATAAATTGTAGTCAAAAAGTGATGGTGGTTGGAACAAGAACTGAAATCGAGCTAATGATCGATCATAATGTACAAATTATTTCCGAAAGGTGCAGAGAATATGGTGAGAGTCTAAAATTAAAAATGAAAAAGTTAAGGGAAGGAAAAGTAGCTGAAGAGAATATCAACAATCAAAAATTTATATTTGAGAATTCTGATCTGAAAAATCTCAATGTCAGTTATCTTGTTGGTTCATTGAAAATGAATGAAGCACAATTTTCTAACAATGTTATTGGGAAGATTGACAGCATTGAAACTGAATCACAAACCATTATAAAAGGTTCACTATCTTATTACATTTTTTAAACTTTATATTGGATTTTATCAGTCTAAATTTATTAAATTTTTGCAAATTTTCGTTTTTAATTTGTTTAAAATTGTTCTATTTTTATTGTAATTTTCTAGCTGATTTAAAAGAACCACCTCAAAATGAATCTCTGAAATTTTGTGGTGGAATTGAAAATGATAGAAACTGTAAGGTAACTTTATACACTGGAGATCTCACTAATATGTGTTCAGATTACTGTTTGTTCTTCATCGACCATTCCGGAAGAAATCCAAAAAAGAATCCATTTTTGGATTACATTGTTGTAAAGGGTAAGTTTTCAACATTACAAATAAATAGTATTTTGAGTAGCACATAATAATAATTTCAGCTAGGGTTGATGAAAAAAAGATGAAATATCTAACCACTGAAACAGAAACAGCACCTATTGTCCTGGATGGTGGGAGGTTAAGATGTAAAAGTCTGATATTTGTTCCTCTCATTTTTAAAAAATTGTATACTCCAGAGTTTCATGTTGAGTTGGTTGCATTGTTAAATCAGCAACTTGAAATCCTATTTAGCCACTTCAAAATAAACAGCCAACCAACCGTATCCATATCCATCCCCACAAATGGTTTTGTATTTTTGTTTGGAAATAAGAACTTATTCGTTACCTGCTTATACAAATCTCTGATGGTTAACCTTTCAACTAGAAGAGAATTTGCAACGGAGCTCAATTTTGTTTTTCCAGATGACAATGATCTAAACTTGATCACTCCACTCATGAATGCCTCCGTCGAAGGCCATATTGATAATTTAGGTGCGCTTGCTGTTCAATGTAGCTTTTACTTGCTAATTTCTTAAAACGTTGTTTAATTTTTGAAGGCGCTAGTCTTACAAGTGGCACATATTTGGAATTATATGCAGGCTCTTTGTTTGATCTTCGGGTAAAATTTGATGCATGTTCCGAAATTTAGTTTTCTAAATGATAAGCAAACATCCGATTAATATATTCATTGACAGGTGGATGCCAAACTCGTCATATTTGATCAAAATTTTAGTCCCGAGACGACAGTGTTAGGTAAACAAATTTTGAAAATACTTGGAAACTCCTTCACAACACAACTTAATTCGCTTAAAACAAAGTTAAAAATTAACAATATTATTTATATAAGAGGTGATAAATTGAAATGCAAATTTATCTTCTGTTGTCGCACCATTTATTCCGAGGAAAAATCTGAAAAAGAGAGGGTGAATTAAATTTGAGTTGATAAACATGACTATCATGTCTTATCATGTCTAAATATTTTTTGATTAGTGCATAGATGGTTGTTTAAAAGAAGCGTTGGCACTTATGAAGAAGATGGGTTTGAAAAGCTTGGCAATGCCTCTTCTTGGGTCGGGTAATTATGGTCTGGAGATGGAAAAGTCCGTTGAAATTTTGTTAAACAATTTTCAAACTGACGATTTTGGAAAGGTTGTAGTGGCTGTTCCGATGGATCGCCAAATAGTTGAGGTTCTCTGTTTGCAATTTAAAGTTACTTATGCGATATTTATAAATGTAATTTGAGGTAAAAATACTAAAAATTATTCAATTTAAATCCGCATAAAATTAATAAACTAATTGCTTCAATTCTAGGAATGTATATTTTATTGCAGATGTTTGAAGTCGGTTGCCGGTCTAAATCTATTTGGTTCTATCAAAAAGGTAATTAAATGGTTAAATGATGTGTTATATGACAAGCCCTGAAACTTATATATACTTTTGTATGCTGTCATTCCATGTTCATATTTATGTTCAGATCGGTTGATGAGCAAAGATGATAAGAAGGAAGAAGAGGAAAGTATGGATACATCAGAATGCACATCAAGGGAAACAAATTTGAGAGACTTTGAAACAAACGTTATTGATAAAGTAGGTGTAATCAAAAATTTTGGAAGTTCTGAAAACCCGATCCCAACAATAACTTCTGTGCAATCATCACAGATCTTTGATCAACTCAGCACTGAAAATGTTAATACATCTTCATTATTTGATAATAATAAAAATTTGTAAACTGATTTACATTTTTTGAAAATGCGTGTTTGACAGGTTATTGCTAACAATGATGACGAGAACGAGAAAAGTTTCCAATCTTTAGAGAAAGACGATTCCAGAAACAAGAAAAAAGATGAGTCTAAAGCAGAATCAAATACAACGACAGCATCCGAAACTAAGATTAACAAGGCAAATGTTGCAAGATATCATTGGTATTACGTAGAGAATGGAAAAAATATTAGGTACCCAGATGCTATCAACAAAATGCTGGAGAGGAACTACATAAACGAGGCAAGTTGTTCAAGATGGTCTGAATCTGGAAAAATTTTTATCGTCAAATATGCCGAGATGATGGAGTTTGTGGAAAATGCTGATAAAGAAGAAACGGCTATCAAAGTCTTGAGGATACCTGTCCGGGTCTTGGATTTATGCATTCCATCACATAGCTTTTGATTTGCATTTGTTTGAATTATTATTTTTATTATTATTATTGTATGATTATTATTGTTGTTGTTGTTGACTTATTGTAGGTACCACTACTACTATAACTTTTTGAAAGAACATGGTAGTTACGCTCTTTTGTTTCACGCTGAGACATTAAATTACATCAGCTGAGAACATTCTACAATTGATTACTTGAAATAATTTTCTGTTTATTCCTACTCACCTTCTTATTTCCTATAGCCACTAGACATACAAATTAACCGGTCGATCAACCTATTAATCAATTATACAACCAACCAAGAAATTGGAAGTGTACCTTACCCATATTAAAATGTTATGATTCTTCGGCCCATCCGATTACGATATTCTTTACTTGTATTACTTGAAAAACTTGAAAGCTCTATAATTATATATCGCGTGTGTGAGTGTGTGTGTCTGTGTGTGCGTCTGTGTGTGGTGTGTGTCTGTGTAAATAATCTATTTTGAAATTTTAATTATACACGGTCATGCCCTTAAGTATGGTTTTGACTGAAGTTATTAATGGATGGTCGTTTAATATAACATTTTTTCTGTAACACCGATCTATCATTCCGTTTTTCCAGAGGAAAGCATTAAAGTCAACCTTCAACTTTTTATAAATATTTCTAGGGGATTGTTTTGAAGGAATTTGTATAACCGTGAATTTAATTCGTGAAAATTGACGTTTTAGATAACGCATTCACTAAAATCCGTGTCATTTTTTTGTTAAATAAATTAGTAATTTGAAAAATTCTGTTAGGCATGTGTGTCACATGCTTAGCATACATATTATACATGTATAAGTTAAATGTCTCTCTCTCTCTCTCTCTCTCTCTCTCTCTCTCTCTCTTTCTTTCTCTTTCTTTTCTCTGTGTGTGTGTGTATACGATTTTATTAGTATATAAATTTACATGTCTAGGTCTATGTATTTGATGCGATTGTTATATAAAAGCAAAGATGCAAAAATGTTGCAACGTCTTTGCGTGGAGCTAATTTTAGATCACTTTTGGTTTTCATGGGAATTTCCATGGTTATTTGCGAAGGTTAATTTTCAATATTACGTAGAAAGCAATCCTGGAAACGGTTTTAATTCTTATTATTGTTCTTATTTTAATTCTTATTGTTGAAATAATCTGAGTAAATGTGTGAGTTTATTAATTTGTTAATAAATTAATAATTTAATAAGTTAATAAATTTTAGTCTTTTATTTTATTTATTTGTGATCTGATCCTGATCTGAGCACTAAAAAACAATAAATAATAAAAATAACTGGTACAACTTATTTATATATATTTTTATATTTATAATTAATTAAACTTGCTATGCTGTTTTTTTTTAATTTTATTGTATTTCCACATTTTAATATTGAAAAAGAACAAAATTTCGTCTTCAGTACCCTTCTAAAACTGTTAGATCCCAACTGAACACCATGAACAAATTAGTAGAAAAAAGGATAGATGACAATTTACAAAGAGCATGTAGAATCTTAAGAGATCAGGCTGATGCAATGAAACAGAGGATGATCGAATGTGAGGAAAAGGTTGCCTTTGCTGACAAGGACCAACAAAATAAAAAAATTTCTTTCGAAATCAAATATGTCGAGCCAGATTTGAAAAATATCGACGCAAGTAAACTTATTGGGGATATAATTATAACTGAAAATGTCACTACTATTGTCAGTGGAGGTAATAATTAATTAAATTTATATTTAGGTAATAATTTTTATAAGTATATTTACTCTAAATTGAAATAACCAATCAGATTTTTAATTTCAATCTGTAGAAGACTTGTTCCATTTTTCACTTAGGCCTACTCCAGTGTTTTTTTTAAATTTTATTTATTATCCAGCTGCCAGCTCAGAAATATCTGACAGAACAGAGATTGGAAGGAGAAAATTTTTTGAACTGAAGAACAGCAAGGACTGCAAGTTTCTATATGCCTGTGCTGATGTAACTGAAATGAAGTCAGATGTTTTGCTTGTCTTTGTGGATAGGGTCACTAAGACCAATCCAATCCTTGACCACATCCTAAAGAATGGTTTGTATCTATTTATAAGGTTTCATTTGGTTGTTTTTGATGTTCTCATTTTTTGAATGAGGAGCGAGTGAATAATGAATGAATTAATGAATGTACGAATGAACGAACGAAAGAACGACCGAATGAATGAATAAATGAATCAACTGGGTAATCAGTTAAATGAAAATTTCATTATATTTAAGCTGGTGAACAAGTTAGAAGAGAGTTCTCACAGTCAGTTCTTTTCAGTTTTCCATATTTTGAATCAAGCATGCATACAAAAGCTGGCAGCCTACCGGCACAAAGAATCTATTACATAGTAACTGATTCAGGCATTTCTCGGCAAAGTGAACATGAATTATACGATTACATCATCAAAAAATTGGAGAACATTTTCAAAGATTATAAATGGAGTGGCTCGAAATTAACCTCCTTAACTGTCTCACTTGATTACGGAAAGCACTTGCAATGTGATGGTATGAAATTCGCCAGCGTCCTTAACAATGCCATTATAAACCATTTGATAGATTTGAATTGTGAAGGGTTTAATGTTAATTTCCTCACTGATTGTAAAAGCTTCGTTGATTTGATGGCTCCCAAAATGCAAAGTCTGATAAATATGGATAATGAGCGAGGTTTAGTGCTTGTGAAGTTGCTTATTATTGTATTATCATTGCATGCATGAAAATAAAGCATTTTCTTTAGATGCAAATATTTATGAAAAAATTGAAATAAATTGAAAGATTGATAGTTTCTACTTAATTGTATGAAAAATAGTCAACCGACGCGCATGTATTCAAATAATTTATTAATAATTTTCAAAATTTATTAATAATTTTCAGAAATAAAGTTTCGCAGTGGCACTTGCCTTCAACTTTCTAGTAAAAATTTATTTGATTTGAAAGTGAGATATTACAACATTTTGTCACATTTTGATTTTTTCAACATTTTTCTAAAAAATTTTTTTTTATAAGTTGATAAAAAAAGGAAGTTATTGAAATGTAATGAAAATTGTAATATTAACGTTCAGCTAAGTATATTATATTCATTTGTTTGTTTTCTGTACCTCACATCATGCTTTATTTGACGGACTAGTTGATTGATTGGTTTGTGGCTGGTTGATTGATTGATTGGTTTGTTGATTAGTTTGTTGATTGATTAATTGGTTGGTTATTTGGTTGGCTGGTTGGTTGGTTGATTGATTGGTTGGTTATTTGGTTGGCTGGCTGGTTGGTTGGTTGAAAGCGGTCAATTCTCATAGCAAATTTTATTCACAGTCATGTCTTAGAGATCCAGTTTTATTATTATTTTAAGCAATTTAAATTCACATGAAAGAACCTTTTCATCTGAACAGGCGGATGCACTCGTGGTGATCGCCGACCACGAATTTCACCTTTTTACAGATTTAGGATTGAAGGTGAAAAAAATTGCTGGAACCGACTTTGAAAATGAAATTGTAGATAAGTTGAAGAACTTGGGCCGGCGAACTGTTTTGGTAACAGAAGGTCATTCATCCAATTACAAAAATATTTTGCTCTGTAGATCGCCCGCCGTATATAAGGACAATATTCAAGTCAGTTTAGTGTTCATAATAAAAATAAATTGAATTTTCATCACAGATAAATTTTTTACGATCAGATATCATTTTTGGACTTATAATTGAATTTTCTTTTATTATCAAGTCTTTAAAAAGTTTCATGAAAGAAACCTTCGACATAGTTAGAGAAAAAAATTTAGAAAGTCTTGCAATGCCCTTACTGGGAACAGGAGGTTTCGGCCTGCTTGTGCATCAATGCTTGGAGATTTTGTGTGAGAATTTTTCGGAAAATAACTTCGGTAGAGTGTTCATCTCAATACCGATCGAATATAAAGAACATACGACGGTTGGCTATTCATCTTCATATTTAAAATTACACGTCAGTGTTTTTTTTTAACTTTTTGTGAAATTAAGATTAAGAAATGCGAGAATTATTTATTGAGAGCTGATGCGTACTTGAAAATGAAAAAATTGAAGTGGTCTGTGGAGAGAGCAAGCTCACTTGGTTAATATTTTTCTCTTTTCTACCTGTTATTAAATTGATAATGCAAGCAACAATAAAAAAATGTTTTCTCAATAGATGTATACACATTTTAAATACGAGTGCCACCCAAATAATTATCAAAGGTTTCATCAACACACACGCACAGTGCATGTGAATTGCGTGAATCCCGTTATCCCTGAATCACGCACATGCATGTGATATGTGGGGATGGATCTGTACGAATTCGAACCAGGTTGCCGCAACATTATGAGCAGCCATCTTATTCATTACACTGCCCATATTCACTATAATTTAGTCGCAGAAACAATGGAATTTTTTAAATGCAAATGCCATTTTGTTACATATAATGTAACATTGTGGTGGTTTAATCATGCGTGTGTGCCTATACAATTTTTTTGTTATTTAGTATATTTACAAATTGTTGAAGAGATTGACAGAGAGCGAGAAAGAGAGAGAAAGAAAAAGAGAGAGAGTATTATATAAAATAAGATTGAATTTTTCAATTTTTCCTGAAATGTTTAACTTAAATCAATACTTTCTATAAACTCAAAGATTTTGACCAGATGAACGAAAACAGAATGAAAGATGGTGGAAGTAGAGACAGGTCTGATATCTCCAAGCATGAAATTGAAAGTAAAAAAAAATTATAAAATGTTCTTTCAGATTAATGAATAATATCAAATAGTAAATAAATTTTCCCTCAGATTATTGAATAATATTAAACAGTAAATAATAATGATATCGAAATGGTTATTAACATTAACAAAAACACAGATAAAGAAACAAGATGTGATGCACTTGAGAGCGGAAATGGTCGTGAAGATGATGAAATCGAGGAAAATTGTTCCAAAAACCAAGAAACCGCAAAAAAATACTACTGGTGTTATCTAGTGAGAGGTAAAAGGACAAAGTATCCTCCAAAAATAAACGAAGTGCTGGAAAGGAACTTCCAAAACCAAGCGCCGCAGACAAAGTGGGCTGAATCTGGAAAAATTTTTGTTGTCGATTTCGGTAAAATGAAGGAAACAGTTATAAAAATGACTAAAAATAAAAATATGGATGATGGTGGAAAAGAGAAGAGAGATAATGATGAGAAGGGAGAGGATGATGAGAAGGGAGATGATGATGAGAAGGGAGTGGATGAGGACGATGATGAAGAGGAGATTGATGTCGAAAGAGTCGCTGAAGATGACGGCTGGGTGTTTTTGTGAGGTTTTTTGCTACCTTTTCAGACGTTTTTTAAAACTTTGTCATTGATATTGATATGCACTGCTTCCTAATTGTATTATTTTATTTCATTAATTTTTTATTTTATTTCTCATCCTATATATAAATATTCTATTATTTATTTATTTTGTTGTTAAATGATGCTGAAATTTATAACAAATTTTGATCAATTGTTGATTATATTGTAAACTTTTTTATTTTTATCTTGTTGAGATTGAAAAATATCACGTCATTAATTTTTCTACGATCTGCTAACATTTCTGCTACTCGGACTTGAACGATTTTAATTTAAATCTGGCAATTGAACTTGGGCTTCCAGTATTGACAATGGATATTTTTGAGACATTTGTGAAATAAATAAATAAATTAATTAATAACCAAATAAATAGATCAAATAAATAACCAACAAACCAAATAAAATTAATAGAAGACGAGAAAGTTAGAATGCATCAGCCCGATCGAGTGATATCTGGGTAAGAACAAATGAAATTGCTTTCAACAAGTGACGCGGGCAGTTGGTTGCCAGTAGGCAATAATAACACCCGCAATTTAATCAACAACCGACATTTTTATTAATAATACTACAGGAGAAAAACAAAACAATAACACGAACAACAACATCGGTACAGACGTACCAAAAAAGCAACAACATACTACAACAGCTCAAAACAACGATGTAACAATTTTGTCAAACAACAACAACAACAAAAAATAACAATAGTACAGAATAGACAATAACAATCATATTAACATCGCCAACATTTGATAACAATAGCATCAAGAACATCAACAAAAATATCACCATTGGCAACAACAACATCAACAACAACTGCAACAACAACAACTGCAACAACAACAGCAATGCAAACATTTCACACACCTAGAATAATGCATAATATTTTGGCGCGCAAACTGATGTTCGTCAATATAATTCCCAGGAGGCTTAACCCTCGGTTGACCTCGAGGACAACAAAATTTGACCTTGAGGTCATTGCTGTCTTGAGTTGAGGCTACCACCGAGTAACGACTATTGGATCACGTGATATAAGCGTTGTTGTTGCTGTTGATGTGATTGGCTGTTGTTG